CCTCGCCTCGCATGCCTCTGGAAGTGCAAAGAAAAGAGAGAAAGAGATTTAGAGAAAGGGAGAGGGAAGGAGGGAAGGCTGGTTCGCTGTGCAGCTGCTCCTGCAGAGGCCTTTGGATTACATCAGAGTGGCTGAGAAGAAAGGAATGAGAGGAGAGAGAGAGAGAGGAGAGGGGGGCACCCAAAGGAGGGTGTGAGGCACACTCCACAAATCAGACCTCTTTTTACCATCCTCTATCCTGGTCCCTCGCTCTCTGTATCTCTCTATCAAGGGTTGTAGTGGAGCGGCCCTCCACAGAGCTATCATTGTTATTAGACTGAAGAGGACACACACATACGCGCACACACACACACACACGCACACACACGCACACACACACACACACACACACACACACACACACACACAGACAGGGGAGGAGGTAATTACTTACTTTTTCTCCTGTTACTGTAATTGATTAGCTTTTGGTCTACATTCCTTTTCCAACTTAATCTTTCATTTCCATTTTTGAAATTAGAGGCACACACTTGAATGTTCAAATTCTAAACCCTTAAATTGTATGTGAACAAACAAATATCGAACTCACAGCTGAGTTGGACGTCTCATGCAGCTGAGACAGCCTCTGCTCATCTGGGAAGGCTCCTGTCTTTTCGCCTGGCCTTTAAGTGGGGAAATTCAGAACATGTATGAACATTTTTTGGGCTGACAATCCTTCCTCAAAGACATTTAAACATGAAAAGTGAACAGAGGTAGTTTAAATCCTGTATAGGCTGTTTGGGAACAACTAAAGACACGTTTACCTTTAGGATTGATCAGATGACACATCACACAACCTACATTGTTTGATGCATACTGCGACTGAATGAGTATTACGATTCTTTGTAGTGAATAACTGTTGTACATGTTGTAGGTTGGACTATGTTCTCTGGGACTCTTGTGGTGGTGGTGCTGGTCCTCATCTTGTGTAGGCGGGTCCTGTGGCATGGGATATGTATCCTTATTGGTCAGAAATGGTTCAAAAAGCCTTCAAGGACCAGAGAATTTGCCAATAGAAGACAGCCTGGAGAAGTGACAAATGAATAAATAATGCAAAAATATGTTTGAACATTGTCTGCCACTGCATGCTTCTGTGATTGGCTGAGACAATCAAGCAAACAGACTCCAAACATATTTTAATGTAAAACAATGCCTAACATCATGTATAGTTAATCTTTAGTTCGAGAGCTTTTGAAGTTGGTACCTTTTTAATTGGCTTCATGCAGTGTGGAGATTTCTTGACATTTAGTGGTCATTTGTGGTATTGCATCTTCCTTTTCTTTGGTCTTTTTCTCGCTGTATTGCAAACAATCCAAACAGGTTAAAAGTCATCAATTCAAAAGAAATACCTTCAGACACATTCACAATCACGGGCAATTTCAAGTCAACCTGAGATGAATGGAAGAAACCAACGCAAGCCATCTACAGATGGAGGACTATGGCAGAGCCTCTGATCCACCGTGCTGCCCACATTAGTAATCACACCCTCAATATGCGTTTCGCTGTTGGCTGCCTAGAACAGCTACAAAGGTCAAAAACCTACAGCCACTTTGTGTTTTATTGTCTTCTGTAGAGCAAAGGGCAAACTTCATGTTGTGCCTTCATGTTGATGACTGTCACTGTTTAAATCTAGCGACTTCTGTAAGAAAAATACAAAAATCCATCTGTGTTCACTGCAAAATGATACCAAAATGGAAGGATATCTGTCCCCTAATACATAATTAATTCTCTCTTGATGAGCGGATGCAACATATACACTTCAAACACATGATTTGTGCTTGCTTGACTAGCTGGTTCTTGCCTTGGTTCATTGTGATGACTCAGCGGAGGTCATACTTTACTCACTACTCCTGAAATATATCCGTCTGTTCTTTGTTTCTGCCACTGAAGAACCCAGAACAGCAGTCATTTTTCTTTTGCTCTCAGGGAGGAAAAGTGAAATTTGATTGTTCACACCCCTGTGTGAGAGGAAGAGGGTGTGAAGCAGCATGTCGGCATATTGTTCTGGATGGGGACTGAGTGAGGAGGTTACAGAGAGAGAAAAGCTTTACTTTCAGCAGGCACTTGACCACTGAAAAACCTCTTTGCCTATCAACACTCATGTTTGAGCTTTGTTTTGTCGTAACTCTTCACAGAAGTCCTAAATCTGAGATTGGAGATACTGTATGTGATTCCCTGGGAATGCTAATGCAAATCATCCTAAATCGAAATCCAGATGTGAATATCGAGCCTTTGCAGCCATGCAGTTCTCTGATGCCTCTGGCAGGCCATGAATATGACCTAAATCATGAAAGGATGGTCTCCGTTGTCGCTATCATCCGATCTTTAAGTGTGCACATTGCCTATATGACCCTCTGCAATGACGGCTCCACATCGTTGAGCAGGTAAGCCTGTAAAGCGTACCTGCCACATAATCTTATCTTTTGAAAGTAGGTTACAACGGGACTGTGAAGTACAGTATAATATTTCCACCACCACACATGTCATGAAAAAGACTTCTATGTTACTATCTAATTTACCAAATGTATCTCAGGGATCAACAAAAGACACACACACAAACACACACTCAAGGAGGACAAGCAAAGCCATAAACACATAACATTATACAACCGCAGCATTTAAGAATGTGTTTTTTTCATGGAGAGAAGACTCATATTTTGTGTTGGACCAACAGGTATGGATGATGAGATGTGTTTGGAATGTGGTGGACAGATGTCAACATAAAGGCTCTGGGCCCAGGAGAAGGGGAGGAGGAGGAGGAGGAGGAGGAGGCGGCGACAGAGGGGGAGGTTGTACGAGAGGGAGCAGAGAATGGCCTCGGCTCATTGAAAGTGAATTTCCTTCCCTGCAGCTAGAGATTACCAGGCCCTTCAATGCTAATAGCTGCTACAAATGGCCATAGATAAGACTTGGAGGACAGAGAGGGAGGGAGGAGGTTAGCTTAAAGCAGTACCGACGCCGTTATTATTTTTATCTGCACTCCATTTTCTCTTTTGGGTCACTCTTTCTGCTTGTAGCTTCTCAATCACTCTCTTGTAGATGAGGTGACTATTTTTTGTGAAATTCTAAACACAAATCACTTCATAAAACTCATGTTAGAAAGCACCAGCGCTTAAGTTCATTAGCTCCAGTCGACAGAGCTGAAACAGGAAGAGGAGAGAACCTAGTAGCCAGTCCCTCAGAGAGATTGTGATTCATTGCAGTAACAGGTGGTCTCAATAGCCATGTGGATTGTTCTCACCAGTTTGTAATGGCTGCTGCATTGAGTCTGAGTATCTGAGGGCTTGTCTTGGCTTTCTGAGACAGTGCTGTGTTTGACTTAGAGTTAGGTTTACTTGTTTGCAGTTTTAGGAAATTGGATATAATATCAGATGATGTCAAAAATGTTAAGCCTAATGTTTTGCTTTGGGTCCTGTAGACCCTGGACCCTCACAGCTCAAAGATCATACTCATTCATGGTTTAGAAGTTTGCTGCAGTAAATGACTCATTGCTTCTGTTTATGGCCGAGCTACAACAGCTGGTTATATACATGGAATGCTGCTCTATAGCAGTGAATGCTGCTCTATAACAGTGAGTGCTGCTCTATAACAGTGAGTGCTGCTCTATAGCAGTGAATGCTGCTCTATAACAGTGAGTGCTGCTCTATAACAGTGAAGGCTGCTCTATAACTGAGTGCTGCTCTATAACAGTGAATGCTGCTCTATAGCAGCGAATGCTGCTCTATAATAGTGAGTGCTGCTCTATAGCACTGAATGCTGCTCTATAGCAGTGAGTGTTGCTCTATAGCAGTGAATGCTGCTCTATAACAGTGAATGCTGCTCTATAACAGTGAGTGCTGCTCTATAACAGTGAATGCTGCTCTATAACAGTGAGTGCTGCTCTATAACAGTGAGTGCTGCTCTATAGCAGTGAGTGTTGCTCTATAGCAGTGAGTGTTGCTCTATAGCAGTGAATGCTGCTCTATAACAGTGAGTGCTGCTCTATAACAGTGAGTGCTGCTCTATAACAGTGAGTTATATATATAGCTCTCCATTCACTAACATTTAGACAACTCCTAATGCGGATCGTCTGTAGGGGGTCAAACAGGCAGTTCGACTTCTCTGGGATGTAACTGTAACTTCACGTTGTAACGTCACATTTGTCTGTGAATTACTTTCTGGCAAACAATGTGAATGCTTGATTTCCTCATGCATACCTCAGATAACATATCAAACATTGAATATTTCCTTATGTGGTGTAATAACAATGCTTTAATGTCTTCATCAAATGTGCAAACCTGTTCTACATATTGGGATTAAATAAGGTTCAGAGAAAAGGAGAGGTATAAGAAGATTAAGAAATAAATTGATTTAGCAATTATTGTGATCTTTTTTTTTACACATACAGCAGTGTGGGGGCTCAGGAAACAAACAATCAGGAAGTAATAACAACCAGAGGATGAACAGAGAATGGTACCAGGTAATGTTGTTTGGTGATTTGTTTGGATCTAAAGCAGTTTAAGGTTGTAATGTAAATGATTTATCATATATTATAGCTGTATCTAAACAAATAGACCTCAGCATCAGCAGTTTGTCGTTAGTGATGTGAGACAGCTTCTGACTCTAACTTCATTATTCTAATCACTTACAGCCCTCCATTTTAACACACACACACACACACACACACACACACACACACACACACACACACACACACACACACCTTTTCTTTCAGTGCCTCTTCTTGATGTCTTTGAAGCCTCCACAGGCCATTAAAACCCTGTTAAGATTCCTCAGATGCCACTGGCTGGATTGTGTCAGTGGACGCTTTATCTGACCTATGAGTGTGTGTGACTGTGTGCGGGTATGTGTCTATTTCTAGCAAACTACCAGAACTTATGTCTTGTACAACAATAGAGGCATTTTGTTTGGGTGAAGTTTTACTGTAACATGTTGAAGAGGAGCTGCTGCAGAAGGTGGTAAACAGCTTCTAAACATGAATGATTTGTTGTCACCAGGTGAATAAAAGCAATCTTCAAATAACCATATTTGAATATGTTTTGCCTTTGTTCTGTTTGTCTTGAATCAAAGTAACAGTTTAGGTCATCCAGTAAGTGAGGCCTGTTAAGCAGCACTATAAAATGAATAATCCTTAATGGGACCATCTTGAAAGTCAGGACCCCTGTAGGCCTTCTTTTGACCTGCAATGACCACTTTTCTCACTTCCCCTGGCCAATTGAAGCAGAGAAGTTGGAGAATGGCATAAAATGCTAAAATGTTTCCCAGTGAGAGGGCCCTGCATGGTTTATAGAGCAGCGTCTGCTCGCCTTTTATTTGAGAACAGGCAGTGGAAACCCTCTTGTCTGAGGAATGTATTCTTTGTCGTCCCATTGCCCTCATTTACAGCGTATGGAGTGGTACTGTTCATTTACTGTGTTAGTTGTTCAACACTTCTGAAGTGTCAGAGAAAGCCGTATGTAGCATCAACTGCCATGCTAAACACAGATTCACCCTAAATGTTAACAGTATTAACCTGGTACAATAGCAATCTAAATAGTTCTGGGCATTTTAAATTTCACCTCACTTCTTGTTTGTCGACTGGTGTAAAAAAGTGTTTTTAACAAAATGCCAAGTAGTCAACAGTCTCCTTGCAGCTCTGTGAGCCTATACTTAGACACAGTGGTGCTTTGAGCTAAATGCTACTATCAGCATGCTCACATGCTCATAATGGCAATGCTAGCATGCTAATGTTTAGCAAGTGTGATGTTAACCATTTTCAGCTTCATACAATGACCTGATCACGGGGCTATCATTCATTAAGCCGTGCAGATAGCAGGGCTAATCAAAACAGTGACACACTTCACAGAGGTACGTGTGTATGTGGCTGAAATATGCTGTTTGTTTTAAGTCTGTTGCTTGTTTTTCTTTTGTTTTTAACTTTATGATGTTTTGTTTTGATTTATTTTCTCAGTAAATGTGAATGTATGGTCTCAATCTCTAGTTTCAAGTCTTCTTCAATACAGCATGCTGTTTATTTCAATCAGGAGATACTTCGTTACAGTTTAACAATAATTTATTACACATGCATGACATTTGAATAGTGCAAAGTCTTGTCAAAGCCGATTGGACTCCATCCTGGAGTAGGATAATCGAGGAGTAGTGATGCTGAGGTCATATAGCCCCTGGAGTCCAGACATTGGTGGTGGTGGTGATGAAGGGAGTTGTTGCAATCCGATGATGAATGAGGAGCATGACTGTGATGCTGACTGGAGGAGACTGGGGTGGAGGATCGCATCTGATTGTGCTGCAATGACAAC